GCACAGCTTCTGGGAAAAGCCCAGCTGAACTCCGCTGGGGTTGCTGTCTCATTACCAAACTGGACAGATTGCACCCAGACCGGGTGCTCTCGTGGATCTCAGTCTTCCTGCAAAAGCGGGGGTTTGCACTCTGCACATAAGGGTTTTGCCAACGAGGTGGCTCCTGACTCTGGCACTGGGTCCATGGGACATTGCATGCAACCGGCTGTTCAGGCCACTCCGTCTGCTGGCCTTGTGCCTACGGGACAGTGCTCCCAAGAGGGGTCTATCGTGGATCTGGGGAATTCCACCCCACCAAGGAATTCTGGTCTGGGTTAACAGGACCCAGCCAGTCAGCATGATGTGGGTTCACCTGTACCTAGTGGGCCACAAAGTCCTGGTCTGCCGAGCCTAGCAGGCGAGCTTGTAGACCAGGCACTTGCAACCTCTCCAAAAAGATCAGTGGGCCAGAGGCCCACCAAAGTATTTGCAGGACTATGTGAAGTTCCTGTTAGTAGGTGGGCAGGCTTAAGTGTTCCTTAGAAATCAGAACACGCTCAAAAGAATTGAAAAGGTGTTAGATTTGTAGTAATGTAAAATGGCAAGTTCTGTGTGTTTTGAAATAAGAGGGAAGGAGTGTTATGTCCTGGGCCTGTGATTGACCAAGCAGGTGCAGGAAGCTGCAGAGAGACCTGGGTAAACCTCATGGCTTCCCGGGCCAGACAGGCTGTCTCCAACCTATTGCGCATGTGCAAGGCGGAAAGATACATTGCATTGATTGGTTGATGTTGCTCTCTACAAGGGTTGGTTCTGTTGAAGATTGAATAAAGAAGCAACTGTTGTTTCTCCTGCCTCATTTCAATTCCTTACCAATGCTCAGAACAGAACAGGTGTGGTTGGTAGGATAATCAGATTAATAAACAATTAAACATCTTGAACCTTGAACAGATGACTAAATAAACATCTTGCTTATTTATTAGTTGCTAGTTGTGTCCCTTTAATTGAGACTTCATGAAACTTTACAGAACAGAAGAGCACCTTCCTAAAATGATTACCTGTGGGGGGGGGGGAATTAAAGGAACAAAGGTATCTTGCCTGCAGACAGGAGAACAATAACAAAAATGACATGCCACATGTGATACAATGTGCCCCTTACTTTACTATTAAGTACTGAAGATTTATACACATTAACTGGCTTCAACAGCTGCCTATGCTCAGACTGAAAATCAGATGTTCAGTTCTCACAAAGAAAGCAATTGTATGAGGGCTTCACTTGTGACTGACATGATAAAACAGTGGCTTCCCACCATTCACCAAATCATAGTTTCTGCCCCATTCCATTTCAAGGCTACCCCAGCTTTTGTGTGAATTCCGCTATTAGAAATTCAAGCGGTTTTGTCAAGGCAAACGCAAGGGGAGAAAAAGGACCTTGATGCCCGAATCTGCTGTACCCCAACCTTCTTGCCAATGTTCCTAATCTTCATTTAAGTGCTAATCTATGATGAAAAGACAAGACAAGCTATCTGGGCCAAGACTGTCACACAATCCCCCAACTAACGATGATGATGGTTTAATAAACTTTTAGAATAGTGTCATTTGGCTGCAAGGTTACCTTTTGTTTTTGTTTTTTTATATAAATATTTTATTAGATTTTATAAGGATAAAGGGGAAGTTGGGTCAATGGGGGTATAATAAGGGGTGACAAACAAAAAGGGTTAGACCAGGGGAAGGGATAGGTATAATAGTGGGGTTATTCCTACAATAAATCAATGCTTTAGCAAGTAAACCCATCGGGTATACATATTCAGTCATAATAATTAATATAAAATAACCATACTTAATATAATATTACTAATATATTGCTAATTAATCATAATAACATTAACATATTGGTGTATTACTTATTAGTTATAATTACTTGTTGTTAAAATCACAAATAGAAAGGGGAAGAAGAATTCATAACAATAGACATAGAATTTAAGTACAAAATAACAATTATCCCATTACATTCCATAAGCTTTTCTCATTCTATTGTGTTGCAATTTACATGCCAGTGCTTGACAACTGGTTCCTATTTATGCCGGCTGCAGTGTCCCGGGGTCACATGATCATCTTTCGTGACCTTCTGATAAGCCAAGTCAATGGGGGAAGCCAGATCCCTTAACAACGGTGTTACCAACTTAACTAATTTTTCTAATTTGATAACTGCAGTGATTCACTAACAAATGTGGCAATCAAAGTCATAACATGGGCCAAAATTCACTTACCAAATTTCTCACTTGTACAACACAAATTTTGGGCTCAGCTGTGGTCACTAAGTCGAGGACTACCTGTACTACAGAGAAGACTGTCTTTGGGTGAGGCCACAAAGGGCTTGGTCTGAATGGAAAGAACTTCTTCTGCCCAGGACAAATTGAGATGGCAGATTTTGCCCAAACTGACCTCCTCCACCCCCTCCCTCCCTCCCTCCCTGAGCCCCCTTTTTTGTAGTAGTTTGGGGGTGGTGGGTGCCAAGATTAAAAAGGGGAAGGCAACCAAGGAAAGGAGGACTGTCTGCATGAGCCCCTTCCTGCATGGATGCCCGGGGAAGGCAAGGCAGGTTCCCCATCAACAGAACCAGAACTGTGGTTGTTTGGGGTCCAAATCTCCCGAAGGACCCCAGCCTCCTTCTCTTGCTGCCACCACATCCACTGGACTCCTCACCTTCCTCACCCCTGGAGATGGGAAGGCCTGGAAAAAAACTGGAAAAATGGGGGGGAGAGGGTTCCCCCCCCCATATTTTTCCAAATTGTTTTGGGAAAAAGGGGGGGAGGAGAACTGTTTTTTCCTCATTTTTCCAGGTTTCCTCCCCCCAGGCTTTCCCATCTCTACCCATCCCCAAAACTGACGTGCCAATGGCCAGGAGGACGCAGCCTGCGACCCAAAGACCCAGACAGGCACATCTCCCCTATTAGGGTTTTTTGCTTTCCAGAAGGGTCTGTTTTTATTGAGATACATATCTAGTGTTGTTATCAGTGTTCTTTTGTGCTTCAGGCTCAGTGTTGGGATTCAGCTGGTTTGCACCACTTTGGCAGAACCGGTAGCTAATTTTTTGTTGCCCAGGCCCAGAAATGGACTTCCAGAAGCGGAATCCACACAGAGAACCGGTTGTTCACATATTTGAATCCCACCACTGTTCAGGCTGCATGATATAGAGCCAAGTTACATAAGGATGTGAAGGTTTCTGGAACAAAGGTTGGTTTTTTTTCTGTTGGTTTCTTGCTTTTTGGCTCGGTTGTCTGATTGTCATTGGCTAACAAACTTGATAAAACAATGCTACCAACTTTCTATGACGTGGCACTTCTAGACGTGACTCTGCCAGCGTTCCAGATTGTTGGCCACCCAGCTGCTTAATTTAATCAAATAAAGTGCTGCTTAATCAAGAAGTCTCTGCTTGGGTTATCTAATTAGATTAATATGGTATCTCAAGTACAAAAAAGGGGCTGGGACCTTACAGCACCATGCATTTATTATATTTGCATGGTGCCAATCACAAAGGGTTTTTCTCCCCTAGACTTTCCCATCCCTACCCATCCCCAAAATTGATGTGCCAATGGCCTGAAGGACACAGCCTGCGACCCAAAGCACTGGGCCTTCCTGCACTGCCAGGAAGCCCCCCCTGAGGATGGAACCAAGGCCCAGAGCAGCCAGACTCCTCTCCCAGGCCTTCTGCCAACAAACTCCCAGCTTCTCATCAAAACAAGGCTGATGAAGCAGCGGCTTCCTCAAAGTGACTTTCACCTACAGAACAGGCCACTAAGATGCCAGAATCAGCAAAGGAATAATAATAGAGCAGCATCGGAATAATGGGCAAAAGGATGCTCTAGCTCCACCCCTCATTTTCCTGTTGTGTCGCAACCCCCAAAGCACAACTGCTTCTAGAGCGGAGGTGGGGAACTATGGCTCCCCTTATAACTTGGGGACTTCAACTCCCAGAATTCCTGAGCCGTCTGGTACCATACCTGGATACCTTCCCCCCAGTTGTACAGACTTCAATTTCCTAATTCTCCACAATTACCATCCTGACTGGAACATTTTAGGAGTTGAAGTCCAGGTGTCTGGAGAGGATGAAATTTAAAGGTTAAGGCTAATTTTAAACAAATCAAATTCAAATAAATTATAGCTATGGAAAGCATAAATCCAGTGCTGTGCATAGCCAGCTTTCCTGATCTCCTTTTCCAAAACTAGATCCTAGAATGGAAAATGTGGAATCTTTTCAAACCAGTCTCACAACCCTGAAAATTGGACTTAAGTTAGTATCAGTTGCCCCCACTATTCTTAATACAGAAACAGTCGTTTTTCACAACCATCGAAACAAATGGGTCAACTGAGTGTGTGGTTGCCTTTATATGGTCTAACTGCCCTGGCTTTTTTAGGTTTAAAAATATTTCCAATTAAAAGAAAAAAAATCTGTTTTCCTTCTGTCCTCAAGATGAAGTGAATTCTGCACCAACATCTCACATAGACTGTATTAATCACATATTAGGTTTTTTGCTTTCTGAGATGGTCTGTTTTTATTGAGATACATATCCAGTCTGTTATCAATGTTCTTTCGTGTTTCAGGCTCAGCGGTTTGATTCAGCTGGTTCGCACCACTTTGGCAGAATTGGTAGCTAATTTTTTGTTGCACAGTTCCAGAATGGACTTCCAGAAGCGGCATCCATAGAGAGAACCGGTTGCTCACATATTTGAATCCTTTCACTGTTCAGGCTGCATGACATAGAGCCAAGTTACATAAGGATGTGAATGATTCTGGAACAAAGGGAAATTGTGTAGTCTAACTGTTGCATTCTTGGTTTTTTTAATTAGCTTTTGCACCAGAGAAATTTCACGCAAGCTTGGGAAACGTGTACATGGATGGGATATAGATGTACATGGAAGGAGGGACTAAGGGAGTGTCTTTCTTATGATGTAATGGCTCTGTTGTCTGATTTTCATTGGCTAACAAAGTGTATAAAGCAATGCTACCAACTTTCTAAGACAGGACACTTCTGGATGTAACTCTGTCAGAGTTCGAGATTGTTGGCCACCCAGCTACTTAATTTGATCAAATAAAGTGCTGCTTGATCAAGAAGTCTCCGCTTGGGTTATCTGGTTAGATTGATACAGTATCTCAAGTTTAAGTTTGGGACTGGGATCTTACAGGTGAGAAACTGGCATTTTTTCAACATCTGTCCTTCTACCTCGGAATGGAACAGAACAAAGTGCAAACTGTGCATTCTTGCCAAAATTGTTCCCCATTTCTAAATTCCAGACAAACAGCTTACCGTGCAGAGCTGAAGTTATGGGGCTGATCAGAGTGCTAGCAAACCTTCTGATACTACAGCTTTCTTACGGTAAGAGCCTGGACAATGGGTAAACGGAGCTTTAGGTGTCTTTTTCAGTTTAAACCTCCAGTTACAGGAGTAAATTTGCATGTAATTATTAATTGTAGATGTACAAGCAGGTCACAAGTAGAGAGTGGGCAAAGAAGGCCCGGTTGGTGCAAATGGGGAAAACCATTGCTGTATTTGTAATGATAGTATGAATTGATACATTTATTCATATCAGCAAAACTAGCCAGTGAAAAATATATAATCCCAAATATGGTCAGCTTCCTTTCCTGTTTCTATTTATTTGACAACTGACTTCAATAGAGAAAGATGACTTATTAATTAATATAAGATTCATTGAGAAAAAAGTTGGGGAGGGTTTTCAGTGTTAAGGTGGTCTTTAAAAAATGTTGTATGAGATAGCCATTGATTTTTGTCCAAACTGATAAAATAAATCTGTTGGATTTAACCTCGCTCCCATTCTTTTAGATTTGCTGCATTATACAGCGTGCAATATCTGGGTCATTGCTTCTGAAACAAATATCAAAACCGGTATGTAGGGATTTTATTGCCATCAATGTTGGCTCAAACTGTTTTTAGTGAACTAAATACTAATGTTATCAACTTCCCATCCAAACTCATAGATTAAATTCCATTTTCATCAATCTCTTCCCATATATATATATATATATATATATATATATATATATATATATATATATATATATGTAGGTCTTTGGTTGTTCGGGTTTTCTCCCACGTAAAATTGGAAGTGTCTTGGCGACGTTTCGACGAAGTCCCATTCGTCATCTTCAGGCTGGTGCTTTCAGCTTCGTGCTTCGAGGAGCAACGAAGTTGAAAGCACCAGCCTGAGATGACGAATGGGACTTCGTCGAAACGTCGCCAAGACACTTCCAATTTTACGTGGGAGAAAACCCGAACAACCAAAGACTACTACATATATATATATATATATAATATATATATATATATATATATATGTGTGTGTGTGTGTGTGTGTGTGTGTGTGTGTGTGTGTGTGTGTGTTAAACAATAAAATATATGAACACCAGGAAGTTGTAAAACTATAAAAAGTTTTAATAAAACCAGAATAAAACCAAACTTTCGCTGGCATCTGCCAGCATCATCAGGGTAGCCTCCAGTCGATGGGAGAAGCTATTTATAAATGTGGCGTTCTTTGCGCCCGGCTTCTTGACCTCATCATGGGTCCCAGCCAATCCACCTGCGTTTTGATCGTAGTTTCTGTGTTGCAAGCTGTAAATTTCCTCACTTTCCTTGCTTGTGCCGGTACCGCAGCTCTTCCTCCCTTCTTTGCATGACTGTAAGTCAGGGGGACTCCTTAATTCCACGTAATTAGATATGCACTGTCTGTGTTTATGTTGTTTGTTCTCCTCATCCTCCTTCTTAGTACTCCCTATTTCTCTTCTCCTCCCCCTATTTCTCTGTTTACGATCCTCTTTCAAAGTTATACCCTCATTGTTTGTCTCTGTAGCCCAAGATTCCATTGTGTTTATATCATCCTGTTTCCCGATCCTTTGTATCTCTTTACTAACTCCCCTTTCTATTTTCTCTTCAATGGGGGTGATTTTGACACCCTCTCCAGAATTCGTGGCACCCACAAATTGATTGTTGACCCCTTCTCCCAAGGGGGCTGTCCCTTCACTGTTGTTTGTGTATTCGCTCATTACTTGGGGGTATGCAATCTTCCTTACAGGGAGAGAGGCGGGGTCCTTACGGTCGTGACTTGCATCCCCTTGTGCATTCCTACGGGGAGTCGTTCCTCTCAAATGTCTGTAGGAGTGTGTAGAAGCTCTAAGATTATAGTGAACAGGCTTCTCATCTCCCCGTTGTTCTCCTGCATTCCCAAGGCAATAACAGCTCAATCGGGAACTGTCATTGGTGAAGTTAGTTGCAGGATCGCCGGTGGAGTTACATGTGGCATTCCAATCCTTCGAATCATGATTGTTTAATAACCCAGAGTCTATACCAGATCGCTTTTTTGTCAAACTCCTCGCTGTTCCCAGGGAGGCCCTCGATTCATCGGCACTTGGCTCTTGGTTGTCAATACACTCCTGTGTCCATGGGGGAGGGACATATGTTTCAGCAGGTGGAGAGTTACTCAGCTGCTGATTATTCCCTGTCTGGGCATTTCCAAGGCTTGTCTCCTCCGTCAACCCTCTTTGCCGAAGGCACGTAATGTTACATTGTTTTCCTCCGGAAGGACGGTCACGCATTGCCCATGCTCTTAATGTTACAAGTGCTGGGCATAGGTCCACATGTCTGTTGATGGATTCTTCATTGGAGAGCCACGCCTCTTTAAGGAGCCGGCTCCCCTTCGTGCTGTCACTAGCCATCACCTGCACGTTATTAAAATCGAACCTATGCCCAGATTCTAGCATATGTGCTCCGATTTGGGAATGTTGGTCGCCTCTCCTTACCGCCAACAAACAACATAAACACAGACAGTGCATATCTAATTACGTGGAATTAAGGAGTCCCCCCAACTTACAGTCATGCAAAGAAGGGAGGAAGAGCTGCGGTACCGACACAAGCAAGGAAAGTGAGGAAATTACAGCTTGCAACATAGAAACTACGATCAAAATGCAGGTGGATTGGCTGGGACCCATGACGAGGTCAAGAAGCCGGGCGCAAAGAACGCCACATTTATAAATAGCTTCTCCCATCGACTGGAGGCTACCCTGATGATGCTGGCAAATGCCAGCAAAAGCTTGGTTTTATTAAAAATTTTTATAGTTTTACAACTTCCTGGTGTTCATGTATTTTATTGTTTAACATGAGTCTATCTAGGAATCACCGTTTTGCTTTTAATATTCTTAGTAATATATATATGTATGTATGTATGTATGTATGTATGTATGTATATATATATATATATATGTTTTCTGAGGTTTTCGCGGGTGTTTGTATGTAGGTCTTTGGTTGTTCGGGTTTTCTCCCACGTAAAATTGGAAGTGTCTTGGCGACGTTTCAACGAAGTCCCATTCGTCATCTTCAGGCTGGTGTTTTCAGCTTCGTGCTTCGAGCAGCATACATACATACATACATACATACATACATACATACATACATATATATAATTTAAGATTCACAGGTAGTTTACCTACATGGGCTTAGGCATATATATGACTTGCAAATAATCCATTTTATTCTACTTGTTTGATGCTGTGTGTCCCACAGTCATCTCTTACCCTCCAAAATTAGTGTGTACACACACACACACACACACACACACACACACACATACTAATCACTTAATATTCACATGTAGTTTATGGATATGGGTGTAGGCATATATATGATTTGCAAATAATCCATTTTATTCAACTGGTTTCATGCTGTATGTCCCACAGTCATCTGTTACCCATCAAAATTAGTGTACAGATAGAAACACTACCAATAAAAGTGACTCTGTTCTACTCCACAGCTAAACACTGAACTTTTTTGGTTTCTTTGCAGCACAAAAGTCTTCTGAACTGGTCATTGGAGGTGATGAATGTAACATAAATGAACATCGTTCCCTTGCACTCGTGTATATCACTAGCGGTTTTCTCTGCGCTGGGACTTTGATCAACGAGGAATGGGTGCTGACCGCTGCACACTGCGACAGGTGAGGGCATTACAGAATGTGGAAGGGTTGAGGGAGATCGTGGTTAGATATCCACAGTTTTTTATAATGTTTCTGCTAGTTTTTTGTGACTTCTCTGTGCATTTTGAATGAGTGTTCTGCTGTTACTGCTATTGCTCCTCACAATCATATCTTGAGCAATGTTGTTTATATTTACGGTTGAATTTCCTTCTTCTTCACCACAGTATTCATATCTTTCCTTTTTTCTGGGATATAATAATAACAAGAATAACAAAATCTGGAACATTACCTGAATACCATCAGCATTGACAAAATCACCACAGTCAATTGCAAAAGGCAGCTTTACTTGTAACATCCTGTGACAATCCCTGTAATACCATGGAACCACAAAATTTTCCTACCCCAGTCTAAATATCTGGCTGACTGCTCAGAAAATATTAACCATATGCTGCCTGTCTCTGGGGGTTTGCCATAAGAAAATATTTTTTTAAAAAAAATCAGTAAAACATAAAAGATAAAAAGATGATGAAGTGAGAGGCTTCTCTCTCCCTTATCAAAGGCCTGGGTGAGCCACTACACCTTAATACCTCTTCTTAACAAGAGCAGAGTGGGCACCATCCAGATTTTGTGTTCGTCTTTATCTATCCCACCATCCTTTGAGATAGGCTGGGTTGAGAGAGGATGTGCACAATACAAAGTCATAACATTAGTACTGTAACCACATGGGTTCTATCTGAAACACAGCCATCTATAATTTATAAGTGCAACATTCACACAATACACATCCAAGTCAAGAAAGAGATGGATTCATACTATATGCTGAGGTTTCTGAGTGCGAAACAGCACACAGGTAAATTCACGCTTCAAGATTTTACATAAACTATGGAAATAGCTTATTCAATCACCTTGAACAAATTTCTTGAGCGTACCCAGATCTCTAGGACATTGACAGTAACTCTTCCAGGATTCAGGTGCTAACAATCCTGGTTGAGGGCCAAGGAACATCCCAAGTAATATAGAGTTTACTTTAATTTGTTGTTGTTAATTTGTTGTTGTTTTTCTTGTAGGGGAAATATGCTCATATTCTTCGGTGTGCATAGACTAAAGGGACTAAATAAGGATGTGCAGAAAAGAGTCGCAAAGGAGAAGTTCATTTGTCCCAATAGGGAAAAAAATGATGAAAAGGACAAGGACATCATGTTGATCAGGCTGGACAGCCCTGTTAGCAACAGTGAACATATCGCGCCTCTCAGCTTGCCTTCCAACCCTCCCAGTGTGGGCTCAGTTTGCCAAATTATGGGATGGGGCGCAATCACATCTCCTAATGGTAGGGATCTCTGTCTATACTCTCAGACCCAGCTTTTGATGTAACACCAACTAGGTCTAGGGTCTCACTATGTCATCCATGAATATTGGAATGTGGATGAACAATGGGATTCCCTAAGATTCCATTTCTTCATCTGTTCCACACCCACAAGGTCCTTGGAATAAAAGAAATAAGTAAGGCACTGGCATGCTGTATAGCTAAAAAAAAAACCTAAAGGATCAGGTTTATTTATAGCAGTGCTGTTGGGAATCAGAAAAGTCCTATTAGCATGGCAGTCTTGCATGACTTCATTACCTTTAATAATGGGGTATTTTGTGAATGATCATGGCCATTTTGGAAATGGAGAAATCTCCCATGGAGGATGTTTTCAGAGTATATTTACTACTCGCTCTCAAAATATCAAATATGAACTCAAAAACATGGTCTATCCTTGGATGGATATAAAATCTCTGTGGATGGTTGCAGAGGACTTCTTCCTTTTAAGTCCTGGTGGTGCAGTGGTTAGAATACAGTATTGCAGGCTATCTCTGCTCCCAGCCTAGAATTTGTTCCTGACAGGGCTCAAGGTTGACTCAGCCTTCCATCCTTTTGTGGTTGATAAAAGGAGATCTCAGACTGTTGGGGGCAATATGCGGATATTTTAAATCATCCAGAGAGTGCAGTATATAGGTCTAAGTGCTATTGCTATTGCTAGTAAGGCCATGGAAGTGATACATGTGCTCTCAGCTTTGGCTTATGGTCATCCACACATTCAAGCCTGCCAAGGTAGGTAGAACTTGTAAGCCCATCTTGTTTTCTACCTAGGTTTCTACCAAATAGGTGTAGCTAGAGCAGACAAGTCAAACAGGCTTGGTCAAGAGCTGGGAAATAATTAAGGACTCAAACAAATAATTTTCAACTCACCACTGAAGCACCACAGGGTTTTTTTGTTTGTTTGTTGTTTTTGAATACATGGAGACCCAGTGAATTTAAAGTAACAGCAAAACTTTACTGCTTGCAATGTAAATTTGTTCTTTCTCATACCCACACATCCACCCATCCATATTTAGACACATCCTTCTCAATTAGGCTGCCAGGCACCAGCTAGATGGACAGAAACACCTAATTTGTGGATCCAAAGATGACTCAAGGAATGCGTGAGCTTTAGTACACCATTTTATCCTCAAAAGTTCTTGATTTGTTGATTAGGTGGGATTGGGGTTTATTCCATATTCTCAGGCTCAACTTTGTCAGATTCAGATGATATTTTTCCTTTGTTTCCTTAGACCTATTTCCACCTCATCTGTCCTCCCCAATGGATCTTTTAGACAAGATTCCTGGCTTTTTGTTCTTGTACACAATACAAACCTACAGGTCTGCTTCATCTTCAGATATGGAAGTTTCAGTATGCCGGCTGAGGAATTTTGGGAGTGGAAGTTCCGAAGTCTTAAAATGGCCATGTTTGGAGACCCTCCGTTCTAGGTCATCTCCAGGGGATGCGAGATCAGTTCTGTGACTTTTGAACTAGGAAAAGCCCCACTTTTCCAACAAGGCAATCTTTGCGTAGAGTGCTGGAGAAATTTGAGAAGCCTTCAAATGCCCATCAGCTGATGGAATACCTATTAATATCTTGAGAAAAAACATTTAACTAAATCTGTTTTTCCCAGGAGTCCCTTTGAACAGCTTTAAAAGACAATACTTCCTATTCCAGGCAATGAGATCAGCTCCACTGCTTGGAGACAATGGAAATTATAGCTCTATGCATCTAGGTGGTAAATTGTGAAAGATAGAATTTTGCCTATTTTTTATTTTTTTCAGTGACTTTGCCCTGTGTCCCTCATTGTGCTAACATTAACATACTCGATTATGAGGTGTGTCGAACAGCTTACGCAAGGTTGCCAGCAACAAGCAGAACATTGTGTGCAGGTATCCTGGAAGGAGGCAAAAGTTCATGTGATGTAAGATGATCCGTTTTAAGACAGACTCCTAAAGAAATGATGCCAAATTTCAAAGCTGTGAGAGAGATCTAGCCTTGAAGGCATCTTGTACAAACATACAAAGTTATGGCTTTTTCTAACTCAAGTGCCTTCTAGGTGTCTAGATTTCCAGACTTCCCAATATTGGTGATTCTGGTGGGGGAAACACAAGGAGTTAAATTCTTCTACAAGGATCCTGGACTGGGGAACATCAAAGTGAAATATTGGGGGCTATATGTGAATGGACAATGGGAGGGAATTGTTTGCTCCACTTTCCATTCATAGATACTGTAGTAATGTTTCATGTTTGATTTTTTTCAACAGGGTGACTCTGGGGGACCCCTCATCTGTAATGGAGAAATCCAGGGCATTGTATCTTGGGGGGGCGATATTTGTGCCCAACCACGTGAGCCTGGCGTCTACACCAAGGTCTTCGATTATACTGATTGGATCCAGAACATTATTGCAGGAAATACAGATGTGACCTGCCCCCCATGAAAACTTTTGAAAAAGCTAAGAGGAGAAAATACATCTCTTCTATATCCCTAACCATATCCAACTACATTAGAATATAGTCCCAGGTTAACTCTACAACAACAAAAAAAAAAAAATCCCAGAAAACAACAACAGGGAAGGACCAGATAAAACAGATAAATGGATACGAAATTGAGAATAGAGACTTAAAGATGGAACTTAACAAAACAAGGAACCATGATTTAATCCTAATGGGGGGGGGGAAATCACAAGAATTGGAAAAAATAACTTATCCCTTAACACTGCAAAATAAATCTGAGGACAAGAAAACAGATTAGATATATTGGACTGTAGAAATGTCAGGAACATCTAACATTTATGAACATATGGAAAAACCTTTTGACTCAGCAAAATACATTGATTAATAAAGATACTGGGCAAAGGAAAAAGACCAAAGTAGAAATCAAGAAAATAGATGATGGGACCTACCAGAGAGAATACTTAAAAAAGAAACACTTGGTTGAATATGGTTAAAGAAATAGAAAAGATGTGAAATATATATGTCACTCTAAGAGGGATGAATCTTCTAAATAATATAGTATGCTTTCCCCCCCTTTTTTATTCTATTTCTTGATATGAGTAATATAAAAAAGTTGAAATGGCTTAGAGAAAGTAAATGTTTTAGATATTTAAATGTGATTAAATTTAAGAAAATTATAATGAATAAAAAATGTTTTGAATAAGAGTTAAAGGACTAAATGGCTAGATGTATTAAATGGAATATTTAAAGATTAAACATATTTTTAATTATGGTTAAAAAGAATAAGAAATATTGGAAACAAATATATATTAGCTTAAGAGGGATATATATTTTAAGTAGTATGTTATTTTTTATGTTTCTTTATTCTTGCTCTCCTTTTTTTCACTGTTTTATCTATTCCATAAGAAATGTAAAAGTGTGAGATGATTCATATGGAAAAAATAGAGTTAAATTTTTAAATGAAATTATTTTTTGAGAAAATCTTAACCAGTAAGATTACTTAGAATCTTGTGGGAGAAACAAATTTAAATAAGGACTGTAACAGGATCTATGATAAGGCAACCAGAATGATTGTATAGAAAAGAAATATTATATTGATTTGATTATTATTTTTAGGAATATTTGGAAAAAATTATATATTTAATTGTTATCTATCAAATCATTAAGAATTGTATTAACTCAATGTTTGCAGAAAAGGATATTTTGGGGAAAGGAGGAAATCAATTAAAAGTATTAAGTGGATTATGGATTACAGAAATCAATTGCTAGTGATTGTTTTACACAGTGCTTTTTTTGTAAAAAAAAAAAAAAGTGCTGGAACTCACACATGTCATACAACCCGCCTTGCCTATCCTACAAGGTTCTATCAAAAAAAGGTGCTGGAACTCCGTTCTGGACATTCTATGACAAAAAAAAAAAAAAACCTGGTTTTACAAATGTAAACGCAGAGAACACACTGTTCACCAATTATTAAGTGATTTATGTTTTAAAAAATCAATAAATTACAAAAAAGAAAAGAAAAGGAAAAGGTCTGACTTGGTGGAAAAGATACTACGAGAGTGGGAAATTGAAAAAAAAAAGTTCTGAAGGACAGCAATGAAGCTCATAATTGCTTAGGTTCATATAGGTCAGGAAGCCATCACCAAACCAACCTGTTCGATCGCCTAATGCAATGTGTAAAGCCAACGGACGTTTGTTCCTGCCATTGATGGATTACTAGCAGAGATCAGATCATTACATAACCTAAACTGAGCTAGGTTTGATTCTGCTATTATTAAGAACTCAGCTTCCATCTTAGGTAGTCCTTCCTTGGCAGTCCTTTAACAAGACTCATTCTCGGATAAATCTACCTTGGCCCTTCCTTTCATCTACAAACCAAATACATTGTTCTTAACCTGTTTAATTCAATAGTATGTAATGTAGGGATAATCATCTTGGATAGATTTTTGGCCCAATAAGGACAGGCGCATTAAGGGTTATTAATTGTGAACGCTTCCAAGCTGGGGGAAGTACGGTCCAACTATCAGGTGCAGAGGATGCCCTCATTTCTTGCTTGTGAATACCCAGCAGTATCTAGTGGGCACTGCAAGAAACAAAATCTTGGACTGAGATACATTTGGGTCAATCTAGCAGAGCTATTTATGCACTGTTATCTAAAGCAGGGGTGAGAAGCCATCAAATAGAAAAGAAGTGTATCTTTATCTTTTATTAACATTTCATGTAAATAAAATTAAGTCAAACTGAGTGTCTGGCCCAACTCCAAGAAAGTGCATCCCAGTGGGCCATTCAAAAACTAAGCAAATCTGTTGAGACAGAAAAAAAAGTTAAGCTCCTGGATCTTTGCGTTGTGCTAACCCAGCCAATGATGCTTACGGCCCAAGACTACAAGTGTTCTGTTTCCTGTGTTGGTAAGGCATTGAAACGAGGCAGGAGTAACAACAGATGCTTCTTTATTTCAGCTTTAACCGAACAACACAAAATGGCGCTGATCCCTTTTATACCTTTTGCATGGAACAGCATCAGCCAATAAATGCAACATATTTTCCTGCTCTGCGCAAGCGCAATAGGCTGGAGACACCCTGTCTGGCCCGGGCAGGCCACATGATCCACCCGGGTCTCTCTGCAGCATCCTGCACCTGCTCTGTCAATCACAGGCCCAGGACATAACATCCCTCCCCTCTTGGTTCAAAAAATAGATACTACTATTTCAACTACTACAAGTCACTCTCCACAACATACTTGATACTTTATAATATCACATTACTCTTTTGCGTGTGTTCTTATTTCTAGGGAACACTAGGCCTGCCCGCTTACTGACATGAACCTTACATAATCTTGTAAGAACTTTGGAGAGCCTCTGGCCCACTCCGCTCGTCTCGGAGCTGTTATAACCGCCCAGTCTGCAAGCTTGCCTGCCAGTCTCGGCAGACTGGGACTTTGAGGCCCCTTTGATGTGGGCAAACCTGGATCTTGCTAGCTGGCCTGGCCCGGTAGGACCAATCCTTTGTCCCTTTGACTTCGGCTGGCTCTTTCTAGTAAGCCCAAACCAGAGTTCCTTGGTAGGGTAGAATTCCCCGGATCAGTGAGAGACCCCAGTCGGGAACACTGTCCCATCGGCACAAGGCCTGAGGTAGGTGTGGCATGAGAAGCTGCTTGCGTGCAATGTCCCATGGACCCAGTGCCAGAGTCAGGAGCCGCCTCATTGGCAAAACCCCTATTTGGAGAGTGCAAGCCCCCACTTATACAGTGAGACTGAGATCCACAATCGTGATCATGGTCCTCCTCCCCCCCAAGAGCAGGGTCAGGAGCGGAAGGATGACTAGGTAGCCTCCATCGCAGCTGGTCAATGTGCTGATGCAGCACATGACCATCTTCCAAAATCACTTTGTATGACAGTGGCCCAGTGACTTTGCAGACCACTGCTATCCCCCAAAGATGTCCAAGTCCATAGTTCCTTGCCCAAATTGGATCACCGACTTGTAGTCTCGATGCCTGTTGCTGTGAAACATGTGAAGCCACCCGGTCTGGGTGTAATCTGTCTAATTTGGTAATAAGACGGCGACCCCAGCTGAGTTCAGCTGGGCTCTTACCTGTAGCTGTGCAAGGTGTGGTGCAGTGGCAAAGGAGAAAATCAGCTAACCTGTGGTGCCAGCTCCCATAAGTGAACCTCTTCAAGGCATCTGTACCATGCGCTTACCTTGGCCGTTGGAAGCCAGATGAAACGGTGCTGAAGTAGCATGACGAATCATGTTGGCTTTCAGAAAGGACTGGAACTCTGAAGAGGTGAATTGAGGTCTGTTGTCGGAGACAAGAACATCTGGGAGCCTGTGAGAGGCGAAGATTCCCCTCAGCACCTGGATGGTCCTGGCAGCAGTTGTGGTAGATACTGGAACGATCTCTAGCCATTTAGAGTGACTGTCCACAACAATAAGGAAGAATTGCCCCTGAAAGGGGCTAGCATAGTCGATATGAACCCTTGACCAAGAAGCATGTATGTCCTCCCATCTATGCACAGGAGCCTGTGCATTTCAGGCCTGGACTGTTGGCAACTGTGACACCCATGGACCTGGGTCTCAATCTCTTTATCAAGCCCCGGCCACCAGAGATAGCTGTGTGCAAGTGCTTTCCTCTGGACTATGCCCGGATGCCCCTCATGCAGAGACTGCAAGACTCTAGTCCTCAATGAGGTTGGGATCACTACCCTGCTACTCCACTGGACACAACCCTTAAAGGTGGATAGCTGATGCTTTCTTTTCCAGAAACTCTGGAAGTTGGTGCCAGGACATGTATCAGGCCATTCTGACAGTACCCAGTTCAACACGTGTGTTAGCGTGTTATCAGTGGCTGTTTCTGCAGCCACATCCTCTGCATTTAGGGAAGACTTAGGCAAATTCTGGATAGCCAGGATGTGGTTAGCTGGAGCAGGATCTGATTCTAAGAGTTGTAAAGGCAATCTGCCAAGGCCATCTGCATGACCATTTCTTTACCTGTTTGTGAACCAGGGAATAGTCATAGGCAGGGAGGAAGATTGACCACCTCAACATTCTAGGAGAAATTATGTGTGGGGTTTGCTTGTTCGTTGTGAACAACCCCAGCAGTGGCTTGTGGTCTGTAAAGACCATGAAATGGCAGCCATACAAAAAGTCATGGAACTTTTTTATGCCAGCCACAATGGTCAAAGCTTTTGTGTCTATCTGTGTGTAATTATGCTCAGAAGAAGACAGAGTCCTTGAATAGTAGGCTACAGGAACTTGTGTACCATCAGCCTTGAGGTGGCTTAAGACAGCCCCGATCCCATAAGGGGATGCATCGCAAGCTGGGAGCTGCTCATTGAAATGAGCTAAAACAGCATTTGAAGACAACAATGCTTTGACCTCAGCAAAACTCCTTTTGTGGACTTTTGCCCACTTCCATGGAGCCTGTTTATCCAAGAGCCAGTGTAATGGGTCTGCCACTGAAGCCTTTTGGGGAAGGAAGGAATGGTAAAAGTTTAAAAGTCCAAGGAAGGCTTGAAGCTCGGTCTTCGACTTGGGACTTTGGGCCTGCTGAATCGATTTGAGCTTGGACTCAGCAGGATAGATGCCTTTGGCATCTATACAAAACCCCAAGAATTCAGTGGAAGT